CGTGCCGGCAGGATGCTGAGGCCGCGGCCGAGGTCTTTAAGGGCAGAATCTAGGGGGCTCCCTGGATCTGATCAAGTGAGCCGGAGCCGGAGGGTCGCACTCAGGACCAGCGGGAGAGGGGCAGATTCCTCTCACATACTGTCCCTTCTTTTTCTGCAGTGTCAGTCTGCATTCCCATTTACGCAATCCCAGCCTTAGCGGTGAGTGGCCTGTAATGCCCCAATCGGAACTCCCTCCCCTCTGTGCCCAACAAGATTTCCGGGGAAGACTTCTGTTACTGGCCCCAGAAACCCCGAGAGACCTGCCTTATAAGAGACACAATTCCCAGGTTCAGGACCTCCAGAACCTGCTCCCCATCGCCTCACAGGCGGTTGTTCTACCCTAGATCAACCTTGAGCCACCCAGCCTGCCTCCATCCCATCCCCCTCAGCCCTGGGGCCAGCTTCCCCAACAGATGTTCCTTATCACAGCATCGCCCCACATCCTCAGTCTGGACAGCCTGCAGTTCCCAGGAGGCGCGGGTGGGAGAGGGCAGGGCGGAACAGAGGGTCTGCATCCCCAAATGCCTTCCTTTGGGAGGCCCTCTGGGCAAACTGCGGCCCATGTGGCCACCAGCTCAGCTGGGCAGCAGTAGAGCCGCTCACTCCAGTGCAACCAGCACCCCTGTCCTTGCCAAGACTCAAGGCGAGCTCTCCCCAGGTTGCCTGAAGAAGGGTCTCCCCTCGCCTCTTCAGGACACTGGTCAGCATCCAAGAGGCAAGTGGCTGGTCTTCTTGGGTGTCTCTGAGGTCTGTAATTCGCTTAGTCCTGCAGAAGCGGGAGGAGCAGCTCCCAGGAGTAAGGAAGGCTGGTGCTGGGAGCTGGGGGTCTTTTGGAGGTTCAGGGACTTCCCACAATTCCCACACTGCCTTCAGAGGCTTTGTGTCTGTTACCGCTAAAGTCCAGAATGGAGATTCATCCACCCTGCCCACTCGAGGGCTTCTCTATCACCCTCCCGAGTCCCTGTTCTTGAAGGCTTATCTGCCCCCTGGGGACGAAGGAAGCACCTACCTCCAGACATTGGCTGGGGTGTGTCCTTATGGCCTCACTGGGCTACACAAACCCTGCTGGATGGGGGAGCACTGGGCACACCTCATGGGCCCAGAGCTGGGAGACCTAGAAATCTCTGGTCCCAGGTCAGAGCAGTGACCCATCCACCTTCAGTGTTCTAACAACCCCAGGACACATTTATTTAACTCGTGCTCTGTTCCATTTAACCATATCACTCCCCTACTTACCTTTGGTGACCTTCCTTCTTCTTCTTTTTTTAAAATAGATTTTTATTGATTGCAGAGAGGAAGGGAGAGGGAGAGAGACAGACACATCAATAATGAGAGAGAATCATCAACTGACAGCCTTTTGCACACCCCCTACTGGGGCTGGAGCCCGAAACCTGGGCATGTGCCCTTGGCTGGAATCAAACCTGGGACCCTTCAGTCTGCAGGCTGACGTTCTATCCACTGAGCCAAACCAGCTAGGGCGACCTTCCTTCTTTATAAAATAAAATCTAAGATTCATACCATGGCCTCTGAGGCCCTGCTTTGTGGTCCAACCCCACTCCAACTGTCCCCTTTGCCCATTACATGCAGGCCAAGATTGACTTTCTCTGTTCTTTGAATACACCTGTGTTTTTCTGCTCTTGGGCCTTTGCACAAGTCTTTTTCTCTGCTTGGAACTGGACTGTAAGCCCTATAAGGGTAGAAATTGTGTTTGGTTTTGTTTGGCTCTATATCTTAAACTGGTAAACAATAGATAATAAATGCCAGCTGTAATAGGTCTTTTATTATTATTTTTTTTATTGATATTTTACAGAGAGGAAGGGAGAGGGATAGAGAGTTAGAAATATCGATGAGAGAGAAACATCGATCAGCTGCCTCCTGCACACCCCGCACTGGGGATGTTCCCGCAACCAAGGTACATGCCCTTGACCGGAATCGAACCTGGGACCCTTCAGTCCGCAGGCCGACGCTCTATCCACTGAGCCAAACGGGTCAGGGCAATAGGTCTTAATAAATAATCTATATAATAAAAGCCTAGGACCTGTATGCATGCATATAAGCCCAACCAATGGACACAGACACCAGGTGGGGTGAGGGCATGAGTTGGGGGGGTGGGGGGCAATGGGGGGATAAAGACACATATGTAATACCTTAATCAATAAAGAAAAAAATTTATTAAAAAAATAAATTTTAAAAAAGCCTAAGTGACCCTTACAGTGGAACGACCAGTCGCTATGATGTGCACTGACCACCAGGGGGCAGACGCTCAATGCAGGAGCTGCCCCCTGGGGGTCAGTGCGCTCCCATAGGGGGAGCACCGCTCAGCCAGAAGCTGGACTCATGGCTGGCGAGCAGAGTGGCAGTGGCGGGAGCCTCTCCCGCCTCCGAGGCAGCACTAAAGAGCAGCAAACAGGCAGGCGGTAAGGAGTGAGGGGTCCCGGACTGCAAGAGGGTGCAGGCCGGGCTGAGGGACCCCCCCTCCAGTGCACAAATTTCGGGCACTGGGCCTCTAGTTCTTGAATAAATGTGTTTGATGCTTTTCTATTGACTTAATCTTTACAACAGCCATGTGAGGTAGAAACTATCATTAAATCTTTTTTTTAGAAAAGAAAACAGGCACTCCAAGAGGTTAGGCCACATGTTGAAGGCCACAACTATGATTTGAACCCCACAGGGAGGCTTTTTTCACCTCTCATTGGGGATGGGGGTGTGGGAGTGAAATAGTACACCACAGGCCAGCTTCCAGATTTTAGAAAATTGTGGGCTTCCTGGAGAGGAGGCATTGGGTCTGGGTTGGAAAGCTGGCATTTGACTTGGGTCTGCAAAGGCCCTAAGAGAGCATTCCAGGTGGAAGGAAGAGCAATGAGCAAAGGTGTGGAGGCAGGGAGATCCAGCTCTTGGAACTGCCCAACTGGAGGCTGGGTCAGCCAGGACACACGGCCAGCTGTGCCCTGGGTTGCAGTCTCAGGTCTCTAGAGGCAGGACTCCCATGGGCGGGAGACACTCTGCAGTCCGTCTCCCCAGGCTGTGGCTCGGAGCCCTCAGGGAGGTGAGCTGGGCGCTCCCACGCCCCTCTGGGGCAGGACGTTCCCACGTTCCCACGCAGGGGCGGCCTTGGGAAAGGCTTGGGGCGGGCCCAGGGGAGGGCGTCTGAACTCGGGTCCCTCTGCAGCTCATTCTCCATTACTCGCTCAGCAGACCTGGGTCTCTCCTGCAGCAGAGCTGGGAGGTAAGAGTGGGGAGAGCCCCGGCTTCAGGAGTGGGGAATGCGACTTAGACTCCCCCATGGGGTCCCTGCCATGGAAGAGGGGGAGGGGGTTCCTGGGGAATTATCCTTTGTTTGCATGTGGGGTGCCATCTCTTTCCCCAAAAGCAGATTACTCCTTCCCTTTCCCCATCGCTGGGGCTCTCCCACCCACTTAACACTGATGGGGAGCCCTTCCTTCCCAAATGGGGGACCCTCTCCCACTTACCACACATGGTATACTCCTTCATAATTATTGGGTGCCCCCTCCCCAGATGTGGGGGGCTCTTTCTCTTTTCAGAAGTGGATGCCCCTTTACCCTCTCCAGATGTGTGCTCCTTTTCCTCTCTCTGACCCATTTTGGTCCTTGTCCTCCTCTAAAGTCCCTCCCCACCCCCATGGAATGTCAGTCCCTGAGACCCCCCCCCCCATGGGGGGTTGGGCTCATCCTGTCCCCCTCCTCCACTGGATGCAGCAGAGCAGGCTCTCCTGCACGTAGGCAGCCAATTAGGGAGGGAAGGGGGGGGGGGGCGACTGTCTGGCAGAGATGTTGGCAGATGGCCTGAGGGAAGAGGGGCAGCCCGCGACCTGCTTCCTCCTACCTGGACTCCCACCCCGTCTCTTGGGGGGCAAACAACCCAGGATGGTTTCCCAACCTGGCCAGGCTGCGCTGGGGCAGGAAGTAGGACCCAGGCCCCCAGCCCCAAACTATTCAGACCCTGCCTTAAGGATTAGGCCTCCTCCCACTTCTCAGATGGGGAATTGAGGTCCCAGGAGGGAGCTCCAAATGTCTTGGACCCCTATTTACCCCATGGGGATACAAGACAAAATTAGAAGGGCCGGGGGCCTGAGGGAGACGTTGAAATACTAGAAACCCCCCCCCCCCCCCCCCCCCCCCACACACCTGTGAAAATGGCTTCTCTGTCTAGGCACTAAGGCAGGGATGGGCAAACTTTTTGACTCGAGGGCCACGATGGGTTCTTAAACTGGACCGGAGGGCCGGAACAAAAGCATGGATGGAGTGTTTGTGCGAACTAATATAAATTCAAAGTAAACATCATTACATAAAAGGGTACGGTCTTTTTTTTTTTAGTTTTATTCATTTCAAACGGGCCGGATCTGGCCCGTGGGCCGTAGTTTGCCCACGGCTGCACTAAGGGGTAGGGTCAGAGGGCAATGTGTGGGCTCATTCACATACACCCCCCAGATGTTCTTCAGAGCTGCCCGGAGGTTGGTGCTGAGGAAGCCAGGACTTGGAATTCGAGGGATACACAACCCAGGAGACACTGGTAAGACCTGGACACCCTCCTCCCTTGCCTAACTCCAAGGCAAGGGGCAGGAGTGCTGTCTGCAGGCTGCTCTGTCCCTTCCATGCTGGGTCTACCCAAAACCACTTCCCATAATCCCACTCCTGGGTCCAGGAAATGGGGCTCCTGCACCCCAAGCTTCCTCAGGGCCTGACCCCTAAACCTGAGGCCCCGGCGGCCTTGGTGTCCTGAGGTGGAGGTGCTGACAGAACCTGGGACCTCCTTGGCAGACCGGGTGTCAGTGCCCGTCAGAAGATGCCGAAGGCGGGAGAGACTGCAGCCAGCTAGCAGAGGGCCTTTCTGATTGACTGGTTTACTTATTTATAAACAAATAACATTTATTGAGCCCTTACTATGTACCCCTAGCTGTGATAAACATTTTATACCGATTAACACATCTAGACGTCACAACAGCCACGTGAGGTGGAGGCTGTGCTCTTATCTCCATTTCTCAGATGAACAAACTGTGGCCCAGAGGCCTAGATATTCAAAGAGCCAGGACTCCTGCTCAAAGCAGTTCCAATGCCGTCCTGTGGGCCTCTCTGGTGACGGTAAGTAGCTTTGTTGAGACTCTCCGAGTGCCCGGCCTTTTTTCTGGACACTTGAGTGGAGCCCTCGAGGGCTTAGCCATGAGGGAGAGCATCCAGGAATGGAGGCCAGCAGTAAACCAACCTCTCTGTTGACCAGTGTCGTTTATGGCACACCTGCTGTGTGCCAGGACAGCGAAGCACAGTGAGGTAAAGGGGCTGGGTGGAGCTGGGCTGGGGAGGAACTGAGTTTCACACCAAACTGACTCCAAAGCCGTGCCCCTGATCCCTATTAAAGGTATATAGAGCGTCGGTCTGAGGACTGAAGGGTCCCAGGTTTGATTCCATCAGGGGCACATGCCCGGGTTGCAGGCTCGATCCCCAGGAGGGTTCCTGCAGGAGGCAGCTGATCAATGACTCCCTCTCATCATTGATGTTTCTATCTCTCTCTCTCTTCCTCTCTGAAATCAATAAAAATTGATTATGAAAGAAAGAAAGAAAGAAAGAAAGAAAGAAAGAAAGAAAGAAAGAAAGAAAGAAAGAAAAAAGAAAGAAAGAAAGACAGGCATATGGCTATTGTTTTGCAGTTTGCAGAGCACTTTCACACCTGTCAGCTCAGGTTTCTCTCATGAGCCTTTGCTCACCATTGTCTCTGCCGGACTTGCCCTCTTTACCGGGGATCCTCCCAGAGAACACAGGATTGGAAGCCAGGGGGGCTGAATTGCAGCCCTGGCCCTGGTCCTCCTGGTTCTGTGAATTTTAGCGTCACTTGCTGCTCAGTTGCTTCATCTGTAAAATGGAGGTCACAGCATCACCTGGCTCAGAGTGATGTGGAGTAAATGAGTCAACTTACCTGAAGGCCTTAGAATGGCTCCTGGCACAGTCAGTGCTCAGTAAATGCAACTCTCTCTATTAATATTATGGTTCGTGCTGGAATGTCCCAGGGGCAGCCTGAACTCAGCTCCTTCCTTGTACCCACAGCCCACAGCAAGGGGAAGATTGCCCCCTACACCAATTACCATGCCCAGCGCTCCTACCCCATGCCAGACGAGCCCTTCTGCACAGAGCTCAACGCGGAGCAGCGGGCCCTGAAGGAGAAGGAGAAGGGCAGCTGGACCCAGCTGAGCCATGCCGAGAAGGTGGCCTGTAGGTCTCCGGGTGGGACTGGCTGGGGAGAGTGGGCTGGCGGTGGCTTTGCAAAGAAGGGCCCATCAGGGAGCAGTGGGACGGGCGAGCCTCCACCCACAACAGCCAGAAACCCCCAAACATCTGAATGCATACCCAAGGGGAGAATTTCATTCATTTGTTCATTCTTTTTATTCACTCGACTGTTGTGCATAGCCTGATGCTAGAGGATGCTGGGGACACAGGAGTGAATCCCCCAGATGGTTCCGGCCATCAGGGAGCTCCCCATCCAGTGGGAGACTGACACCAACCCGGATAGCTGTAATGCAGGATGGTGGCTGGGGGGAGGTGTGTTCAAGTGTTTGTGAGGACCTAAGAGAGAGAGAGAGAGAGAGAGAGATGGTGTCCTGGAGGGCCATCCAGGACCATCCAGAGGAAGGCCCGTTCCAGCTGGCCCTGAATGGTGAGGAGGGGGGTGCTGCTAGGTAGTGGGAACAGCATGGGGAAAGATAGGGGGGCGGGAGAGCATGGAGGGTTCTGGCAGCACTGAGTGAGTAGTGTGAGGGGACAGAGCAGAGAGAGGCAGGTGAGCTGGATGGGGGAGCAGGGGCCTGACCTTGAGGGGCAGGGGGGGGGATGTGTGACTCTAAGTTATGGCCACCAGAAGTGCCCTGGGCTACCAGTTCCTGGTCCTGCTTTGCATACAATAGATGCTTGATAAGAATTTGCTGGATGGACAGCATCTGATGCAGGGAGGGGGAGGGGGGAGATCCCCAGACCAAGAGTTGGCTTGGGGCAATTGGGATGGCTGCACCTGAGGCCCTCCCTCCCCACCCCGCCTCCCTTACCTGCTTCCTCAGTGTACCGGCTCCGGTTCCATGAGACCTTCGCGGAGATGAATCGTCGCTCCAATGAGTGGAAGACAGTGATGGGCTGTGTCTTCTTCTTCTGTGGATTCACCGCTCTGCTTATTTGGTGGCAGCGGGTCTATGGTGAGTTGCAGCATCTCATCTGGCTGCTGCCCTGGGCCATGCCCTGTGGCCACAGCCAGCAGCCAAGCTCTTATAAGGGAACTATGCTGGCACTCATCTAAAGATTTTGAGAAGTCCCCCAAAGAGGCGGAGGGTGAAGGGCAGAGCACAGCTGTCTGAGTGGGAATGTAGGGACTCTACCTCTCTGGGCCTCAATTGCCCCATCTGTAAAATGGTAATAATAGTGCCCACATCTCAGGGCTCTTGTGAGGTTTGAATGAGGAAGAGCTGTAGGTCAGCTGTAGTTATGAGTGATATTGTTACTGCAATGCTGGATACGTGGCTAGGTTGAGGTGTGTTCAAGCATCTGTGAGAACCCAAAGGAGAGAGAGAAGGAATCCTGGAGGGCCATCCAGAGGAAGCCACATTCCAGTTGGCTGTTATTAAGCATGAATTTTTCTTGTTTTTTTAAAAAATATATTTTTATTGGCTTCAGAGAAGAAGGAATATAGATACATCTATGATGAGAAAGAATCATTGATCGGCTGCTTTCTGCATGCACCCCCCCCCCCCCCCCCAGGGATAGAGCCCGCAACAGGGGCATATGCCCTGACTGGGAATTGAACCGTGACCTCCTGGTCCATAGGTTGATGCTCAACCACTGAGCCATGCTGGCCGGGCAAACATGAATTTTTCAGTACATTGTTTCAGCTGCTGTGACAGAGCCCCCAACATACTCGAGCTTAAACAAAATAAAGGCCTTGCTCTTGTCTCACAAAAAGGCCATAGGAAGTATGGGGACTCCACAATGTCAGGCTTGTGCCTTGTTGCTCTGCCATCCTGAACATGTAGCTTTCTTCTTGACGTACAAGATGGCCACTCCTAGCCCCAGCTGGTTTGGCTCAGTGGATAGAGCGTCAGCCTGTGGACTGAAGGGTCCCAGGTTTGATTCCAGCAAAGGGCACATGCCTGGGTTGCAGGCTCGATCCCCAGTGGGGCGTGTGCAGGAGGCAGCCAGTAAGTGATTCTCTCTCATCATTGATGTTTCTATCTCTTTCTCCCTCTCCCTTCCTCTCTGAAATCAATAAAAATATATTAAAAAAAAAAAAGATGGCTACTCCTGCTCCAGCCATTAGCCTACATTCCAGTAAAGAAGAGGAGAAGGGAGGAGGCACTCATTTTTAAGGTCCAGAAGTTGCACACACCACTTCTGCTCACATTCTATTCACTAGAAATGATCATATGACCATATCTAGCCACAAAGCAAACTGGGAAGTGTAGTCTTTAGCAGGGTTGTCCTATACCCAGCTGACCATTTATTACTATAAAAGGGTGATTCTCAAAGTGTGGTTCCTGGACCAATAGCTTCACTTGGGAACTTGTTAGAAAACAAATTCCCAGCCCCACTCTGGATCTCCTGAGTCAGACCCTGACGGTGGAGCCAGCAGTCGGTGTTTGCACAGCCCTCCAGGTGACTCTGATGCTCACGCGGGGTTGAGAAGCACGGCTCTGGCAGAAGGGAGAGGATATTGAAGAAGAGCTGCAGTCAGTTGACCGCTAGTGGCCTCACTTGTTTCTACTGTAAAAGTGTGATGGGCACGCCTACCTGGCATAAGAAGGAAATGAGAGAACCTTTGGAAAAATTCTAGTCTAGCTCAATGTTTGGTACTTAAAGGTGCCCATAAAGATTTTTTCTTTCTTGCCCACCCACCCACTGGGATATAAAGGACCAGGGATGGAGGCAGGCAGGCTGAGTCAGCCTCGGGGGCAGATGGACCAGGAAGTGAAGTAAGACTTGAGTGGTGACGGACGCTGTGGTCCCAGCCCTTCCCTGCTCCACTCGTGAAGGCACCTAAAATGCCCCATGGGTGCTTCCGCCTTTGGGTTAAGTATTGTCCTCACCAGATTTTTTTTTAAACCCTCACCTGAGGATATGATTTTATTGATTTGAGAGAGAGAGAGGGAGAGAGAGAAACCTCGATCCCACAGGGATCAAACCCACAACCTTTTGGTTTTCACGAGGATGATGTCCAACCAACCAAGCTACCCGGCTGGGCCTCCCCTGGTTTTTAAAGTGAACGCCTCTATCCTACCTCCTACTCCCAACCCCCTTCAGGAAGGAAAAGAAACCATCTCCTCCTGGATTCCTCCCAATCAGTGGGAGCAAACTGAGTAATTAGGGTTAGAGTAGCTACCACGTTATGCAAATCATTTTATAAATAGTAACTCCTTTAATCCCCACACCCCTAGTGGACAGGACCTGGTTTTGACAGATAAGGAAACTGAGGCTCAGAGAGATAAAGTGACTTGTTCAAAGTCACACAGCAAGAGAGTGGTAGATCTAGGATTTGAATACAGACAGACTTCAGACCAGTGCTCCCGTTCCATTGGGCCACACAGCAGGCGAAGAAACTGAGGCTCAGAAGGGGAAGGACCTTGACCCAGTTCCCACAGCGAATCGAAGGCAGAGTTGGGGTCAGAACACAGAAGTCTGTGGAGTGCAGCTTAGGAAGTCTGATGGGGAGACGGACAGGGTGGCGGGAGCGCCTCCATGCAGGCCACCCTACCCCTGTCCCTGGGACCCTGGCTCAGAGGGAGAGGGCGGCCCTGTCCCTACCCCGTGCCTTCCTTCCTGCAGTGTTCCCTGAGAAGCCCATCACCTTGACGGATGAGTGGAAGGCCAAGCAGCTCCAGCGCATCCTGGACATGAAGGGCAACCCTGTGCAAGGCCTGGCCTCCCGGTGGGACTATGAGAAGAAGGAGTGGAAGAAGTGACACTGCATCCCAGTCCCAGGCTAACCCCCCCCCCCCCACCCCCTCCGCAGCTCTCCCCTGGCCCGGAGCCTATGGAGCACTCCCTCCCCTCTCTTTCACCCCAATAAAGCTGGCCTCTTCTCTTCTGCCTTTCATCGCCACCTCAGTCTTTATCTGCCACAAAGCCTACTTATACCTAACATCAGGCAGTACAGTGGCCAAGGGGCAAGAACAAGCACTCTCCCGGGGCTCAGAGCCCAGCTTGCCAGGGAGGACTTCCTGGAGGAGTAGAGGCGAGGGCTGAGTCTTGCAGGAATTAGGAAAACAGGCAGGAGAGGGAAAGCATTCCAGGGGGAGGGAATGGCTTGAGCAAAGGCAAGGACACTCCTTTACTAATCCAGGCCTTGGGGATGCGGCAGTGGACAGTCTCTGGCCTCAATGGAGGAGACGTTTCTTTACAGGGGGAGACAGAAAAGTAAGTAAGTAAATATATAACAGGTGACCTGGTTTTAAGGGCTATAAATAAACCAAACAAAGTAGGATAGAGGGGGAGTTAAAGGGCGATTGGGGATTGTGGGTGAAGGTCTGAATGAAATGAGGAAACAAGCCTTGTATCAAAGACAGAGCAGCAAGAGCAAAGACTGAGGTGGGATTCTGGTTTGTGTGTTTGTGGAACTGCAAGGAGGCCACCCACGGCGACTAGAGTAGAATGACTTGGAGAGCAGCAGGAAGGTGTGTGTTGGGGGGGCAGGGGCGGGGCGGGAGGGGGCTGGCCTTGGGTTAGCAAGCAGATGATAAAAGCCTCATGGGAGTTTATTCTAAGTGTGATGGGAAGTGGTATCAGTCTGCATCTTCTGAGAAGCCAATGCCAAGGAAGAATGAAAGATGTCGGAGATTTGTTGAGGGTTCCCCCATGTGAAGGATAAAGGAGACAGGGAGAAGGGGGAGGGGTGGTGAGACCCTTTAGACCAGTGATTCTCAACCTTCCTAATGCCGCGACCCTTTAATACAGTTCCTCATGTTGTGGTGACCCCCAACCATAAAATTATTTTCGTTGCTACTTCATAACTGTAATTTTGCTACTGTAAACAATATGTAATTATATATGTGTTTTCCGATGGTCTTAGACGACCCCTGTGAAAGGGTCGTTTGACCCCCAAAGGGGTCGCGACCCACAGGTTGAGAACCGCTGCTTTGGACTGTGATCAGGCCTGACCGCTGTGGAAGGAGGGAAGGGGGGAGGGAGGATTGGGTAGGAAACGCCTTGGACTTCTGTGCATTGTATCTAAGTCCAACCAGGAGACAGTAATTTAATAGAGGCTGTTTAAAGGCCTATTAAGTTTACACAAGAGAATAGCTATAAAGATATAAAGATAATAACTTTAAAGAGTATCCTAGGGAGCATGCCCAAGAAGGACAGATTTGGAAGGGGGGTGCCTTCCCAAACTGGGGTTCAGACCTCATTGGAGAAGGTGTGGTTGAAGCCTACCAGTTGGCACAGAACTGAGCTGGGTTGGCTAGGCCCCAGCTGGTCCATGGTCATTGGGCAAAGACAGTTAGAAGTCCTCAGAGGCCCAAGGGTGCTGAGGCTGGTGGGTGGGGGAATTTGGGCACCTTTGTAGATGTGAGGCCAAGAGTGTGTGATGTCTACCTGCGTTAGGAGGGCAGCAAGAAGATGGCCCCCAGGTGTGGGGGCTGCAAGGTGGCTGATAGACTGGACTCATGGCTGCGGCAGATCACCACCAGATGTCCTCACACACTGCTGACCAACCACACAGCAGGAGCAAGAACACACACACACACACACACACACACACACACACACACCCCAGAACCAGAAAGCCAAGCCCAGCCGTTCTTCCAGACGTGTCCCCTCCAGCACCCTCTGCTGGCAGAGTTTAGCATCTCCCTGTAAAGGAGGCAATGCTCAGAGTTTATCCTAAAGGGTGAATTTGGAGTTGAGAGGCAATAAATTGACTAGAGCAGCAAATCTGAGAAAGTCGTGGCCAATGGGGAGACCCAGAGGGACAAAAGGCCCATTAGAGGAGCCCACTGTGCTCGGTCCTTGGCTGGGAGCAGCCCAGGGGACCGTGGCCTCAGCGAAAAGGCTGCAGCAGAACCTCACAGGTTCTCTCGGAGAGAGATCTGAGCAGCACACCTCCACGGACACCCTAGATGCCAATGGAGGGATCTAGAAGAGCAGTTGTGACAACAATACACAGTGGGGCAAAAGTAGGCTTACAGTTGTTCATATGGAAAATAATACAATAAATAATATTACAAGAATAAACTCTGTTTCAGGTACTCATAACTGTAAACCTACTTTTGCCCACCCTGTATTCATTCAGCCAACAAATATTTATGGTGCCTCTACTATGTACCAGGCTCTGGGGACAGAGTGAATGAGACCTTATTCCAGTGCTCATGAATCTGAAAGTCTGCAATGGGGACTCAGCATTGATCAGACAGACAACCTAATAAAGTATAGCACAAATAAGTGTTAAAAAAGGGAGGCACATGGTGTTTGGACTTACCAACAGGGGCTGGGGGAACTTGACTCAATCTGGAGCAGTAAGGGAGGACTTCCCTGAGGAAGTGTCCTCAGACCTGAGAGATGAAAAATGACTGGGTGTAAGCTAGATGAAACAGGTGGTGGGACAGCATTCGAGTCAGGAAAAAAACATGTGCAAAAGCCCTGTGGTAGTGAGGACCATGCATGACGGAGGAAATACAGGGAGCCACAGGGCTGTCAGAGGGGAAGGTAGAGGTGGACCAGGGGCGATAGGAAAGTAGGAGATCATACAGGGCTTTGGGGTCTCTGCTGCCTCTACTGAAGGGACAAGTCGGGAGAAAGCAGGGAAGCTAGGGGAGTCTGTTGAGGCCAGAATATGGGGAGCCTTTGACATCCATTTAATTTTTATCTGAGAGAAGCAGCTGCCTCGGTCCTAGGCTCTCGCATGCACGAGGGATTCATTAATTAGTCACTATCTTAGCACAAGAGATGCTGGGGACCCAAATGGGAAGCACACAGGAGCCTTGACCTCCAGGTTTCCTAGCCTGTTGGGTGGGACAGCCAGTCGGAAGCTAATGAGGTAAGAACTATGGAAATGCCCGGTAGTATATTTTGACCCAGACCCTGATGCTTTGCTAGCAGCAGGAGCAGTTTTGACATAACTTAAAATGTTGAAATATGCAGGCAGTAAAATTTGTTTAGATTAATAAATTGCCAAGGAGTCATGTTGTGAGCAACAAAGAAAATTGTCAAAACTGGCCCAGGGTAAAATTAGATGTTGTACTAAGTCAATCCCCTCCCTCCCCCCAGCCAATAATGTTGTGTAACAAACAACCCAAAGCTTGGTGGTTTACAACTTTGAGCATTTCTGTTTATCTTTCTTGGGCCTGTGGTGTGGGTTGGCTGAGGCTCTGCTGGGATCTGCAGGTTTAGTTCCAGTCTGTGGGTTGGTATTTCTGTGTGCTCCAGCTGCCATAACAAATACCACAGATTCGGTGGCTTAAACAACAGAAATACATTTTCTCACAATTCTGGAGGTTAGAAGTCTAAGATCAAGTGTTGGCAAGGTTGGTTCCTTCTGATACTTCTCTCCCTGGCTTGATCCTCACATGGTTCCTCTGTGTGTGCATATCCCTGGTGTCTTGCTGCATCCAGATTTCCTCTTCTTACAAGGACACCTGTCAGAGTGGGCTAGGACCTTCCCTAATGACCTCATTTTAACTTCATCACCGCTTTAAAGGTCCTCTCTTCAAATAGGGTCACATTCTGAAGGATGAGGGATTAGGACTTCAACACATGAATTTGTAGGGGCCACATTTCAGCCCATAACAATTGGATTGAGGATTATTCCATTCGTTTCCTTGTTCTGGGACCGGCAGGCATCTAGGGCATGTTCTCCTCATGGTAGGAGTCAGAGACTCCTGAGTGGGCAGAGAGACAGTGGGCACACATGATGCTCTTTTTAAAAATATTTTTAATGATGTCAGAAAAGAATTTGTAGGGGCCACATTTCAGCCCATAACAATTGGGTTGAGGATTTTCCATTCGTTTCCTTGTTCTGGGACCTGCATCGAGGGCATGTTCTTCTCATGGTAGGAGTCAGAGACTCCTGAGGGGCCAGAGAGACAGTGGGGACACATGATGCTCTTTTTAAAAATATTTTTAATGATTTCAGAAAAGAAGAGAGAGGAAGAGAGAGATAGAAACATCAATGATGAGAGAGAATCAGTGATTGGCTGCCTCCTGCATGCCCCCTACTGGGGGTTGACTCCACAGCCCAGGCATGTGCCCTTGACCGGAATCGAACCCAGGACCTTTCAGTCCACAGGCCAACGCTCTATCCACTGAGCCAAACCGGCTAGGGCGACATGATGCTCTTAAAGCCCAACCTCAGAACTAGCACACAGAACCAGCACCACATTCTACTGGCCAAAGCAAGTGTCATGGTGTTCTGTGACTGTTGGTAAAAACCACCCCAAAACTACAGGCATAAAACAACCATTACATTATGCCTACCAATTCTGTAGGTCCGGAATTCAGGCAGAGCATGATGGGAACTGCTTGATTCTGCTCTAGAATGTCTGGAGCCTCAGCTGGAAATGCTCAAAGGCTGTGGCCACAATCTTCTAGTGGTATTTTAATTCACATCTGGTGGTTGATGCTGGCTGTCAGCTGGGACCTCATTTGGGGCTGTCAACCAGAACACCTCTTTGTAGCATCCTCAGGTGGTCTTTCTGTGTGGGCTAGTTGGGCTCCCTCAAAGCGTGGTGGGTTGGTTCCAAGAGAGCAAGAGGGAAGTGTATTGCATTTTTTATGGCCTAGCCTTAGAAGACACATAGCGTCACTTCTGCTAAACTCTGTTGTCAAGGCACTCACAAAGTTCCATTCAGATGCAAGAGGGAGAGCACAGAGACCTCCCCACTTGATGGGAAAACATCAAGGTCACAACATAAGATGTGAGATGCTATGACATGGAAGCATTGTGGTCATCTTTGGAATATATAGGCTGCCACCCACAGGCAAGCCCAACATCGATGGGCAAAAAAATGTCCTCCATCCAAGTGCAAATGGAGAGTGTGGGGAGGAAAGCAGAATTATGAGTAAAGAATACACCCTACCACAGAGGTGTAGAAA